AAATATATATTTATATATATATGTTAAATGTTTATCTATTTATAAATCGACACTCGCGTATTTTCCGGACAACCCGATATAATAAATATAAATAAAAAGTATGTACTATATTAATTGAGAAAAAAAAAAACAAAACTAAATGGAAGGTCAATTTTTAATAATTGAATTAACACATCAACAAATCGATAATAATTATCTATTTGTTCGTAACATATTCTCGATAACGATTGTTAATTATTTCATAATTGTCCCTGGTGCAACGTTAAAATATATATATATATATAATTCTTCATTTTAACATCAATTATTGTTTAACAATTCTAACATTATTCGTAGGTTCAATTTTTTTCCTATCTACGTAAGTAAAAAAACAAACACACGTGTTGATAAAATTACAACGAAAGTATTGAAAACACATGTCTTTTTTATTTCTTCTTCTTCTTCTTCTTCTTTTTTAATTCGATTAACTTCGATATTGCAATGTAACAAATAATTATTTCTAACGATCGCAAATTTTTTCAATCATTTTTCTTTTCTTTTTGTTTTTGATATTCTTATGGTCAATAAATTAAATCGATATATTATTATGATATGTTTATGAACCGGTTAAAAAACAAAAAGAAAATCTCTTTCGCTTTTTGTTATTTTATTAATTTATTAAGAAGAAAAGATACACAAACGGCAGACAGATAATCAATGATCTTAAAGAATTGCCTTGGCCAAGGACGGACGGAATGATCGTTGAGAAATAAAAGAAATAAAACGAAGAGATAAAAAAAAAAAAAAAAAAAAAGAAAAAAAAAAAAAAAAAAAAAAAAGGTAAGAAAAAATTCTTAGCAGTTAACATTGAGCCATATACATATATATATACGTATATATGAACATGAGATAAACCAGAAACGTGCAAACTTGGCTTCTCGTGTGTAAGCCAATTCTTTTTTACCCCCACTTTTTTCTTTCCTTTTCTTTTTCCTTTTCCTTTTTTTATCGTTTTTTCGTTTAGTTAAACATTTTCGAATTCATTTACCATTATCGATAATATTGTCGACGTTATCAGTCTAACAGACGACGTTTACTTGTTTCGTCTACGAGTTAAGAATTTTTTAAACAAATATTTTAATATATGTGTATGCGTATGTGTACATTTAATAATAATAATTATATTTAACGTCGCGTCGATTGTTCGGAATGAAATTTAATCGTTTATACGTAAATGAACGAAACCTCACTTTTTTATTTTATTTTATTTTATTTTATATTATTTGATTTGTGTTTTATGATAATTTAAAAGAAAGTTATGAATTATGAGATTGTTAAATATATAAATGATGAACGCATACTTATTGAAACAAGATAATTAAATAAAATTATTACGGAAAATTTTTCTTCCTTTTTACTTTTCTCTTTTTTCAATCAAATTATTAAATGTTTAAACAAACACATTTCTCTCCGTGTTAACAAACTGCACGTGTCAATTTAATGAATAGCCCTGAACACGATTAAGACAAAATTGTTCTAACATCTTGAAAGGAGATGATGATAATGATCATTATGATGAAACATTTTGATATCAATCTGACATCACCTGTTGATATCATTTTTATTTTTTATAATATTTCTCATTAAATTATACTCTAATCAAATCTACGCTAGTTAAAGGTTTCTAGTTATTACGTATATTAGTGAATGAAGAAAATAAAATGTTTAATTGTAAATATATACTCGTAACCAAGTTCAAGTTCTTGGCCAGAAACTGAGATAAAAAAAGAACGTTGATAGCTAGTTGCAATAAATGCATATATTCATAATATATACACGTATACATATGTAACATATTTATATGCTAAGTATTCGTGTTAAATTAAATTTCACTATAATTATTTATAATTATATATCATTTAAATAAATCGTCTAATTAAATGTGTTAACCTTTGGATTTATTCTTAAATCATTGGACACGAATAAACGAATGAATAGTAATAATAATAATATATTATTTATGCAAGAGTGAATTGAAAAGTTTTGAGCTTTGACAAAAAAAATAAAATTATTTGTATATCACTTTTCAACCCCCAATCCACATATATTATTTA